TATATATGTGTATATATATATATGTGTATGTGCAGTGAGCACAGGACCCAATACAGAAAGTCGGGCCCTCAGGCTACTCTAATGAAGTCTGTTTCTGATTGTTTGGTCAAAAATATTCACACCAGTGGCCTGCTGGAGGTAATTTTTTAGGGCTCTGGCAGTGCTCATCATGTCCCTCCTTCCTCAGAGGAGCAGATACCATTCTTGCGGATGAGTTGCGTATCTTTTACAGCCCTGTGTAGCTCTCCTAGAGTAACTGCCTTTCTCCTGGAGTCTCCTCCATGCTCTTGAGACTGTGCTGGAAGCAACAGTGAATCTTCTGGCAATAGGGACATATTGATGTGCCATCCTAGAAGGAGTTGTACTATCTGTGCAACTTCATCATGCTACCAATAGTGAGACTAACCCTAGCCAAATGCAAAACTAATGAGAAAATACATTAAAAAGATGGTTGGGGGAAAAAGGCAGAGGCCTCCACCTGTAAAACCATTACTGTTTTGCGGGTTGCCCAATTATTGTGTCTCTAGTGCAGGGGTGGGCAATTCCAGGCCCCGAGGGCCGGTGTCCCTGCAGGTTTTAGATGTGTCCTTGAACCAACACAGCTGATTTAAATGGCTAAATTAGCTCCTCAACATGTCCTGAAGTTCTCCAGAGGCCTGGTAATGAACTAATCATGTGATTCAGGTGTGTTGACCCAAGGTGAGATCTAAAACCTGCAGGACACCGGCCCTCGAGGCCTGGAATTGCCCAACCCTGCTCTAGTGCATCTGCTGTTAATGCCATTAACACCGAAGCAGGTGAGACTGATTAACAACCCCGCTCTGCTACTTAAATGACCAGATCAATACTCTGGAAGTATAACTGACTTGATGCTATGCTCTGATTTAAAGCATGGGACCATACTTTGAAATAAATGCAGAGATTAAATAATGGACATGTTTGGTAAACTGCATTCACTGTCATGATTAGAAGTACCAAAGACATGATATTTATTATCATCAATTACCTTAACAACATATAATATTGTCTTTGAGTTGAGTTCCATTGTAAAAATTGTGTTGTATTGTAAAGCAGTACTGCAGTCTAAAGCATTGTTAGGCACACCAGTTGTTATCCATTGCCATTCAGAGGTAGCCAGCCCTGAAGATTCCTTTTAGAAGCAAGTGTCAGCACTCAGCAGCTATGTCATTAACGATGCTGGACAGTTATTTTGAATGTTATTTTTAAACAAAGATGAATGGAGAGCGATAACTTTAACTGACTGGTCACTAGGATATAAAATCTGCATATATAGAATCAGTGGTCACATTTAATTTTCCAAGGAAATGAATGATACAAAAAATACATAAAACTTTGACATTTTTGGTCCTAAATGAGGTTTAAAAGCTTTTTTCTGTCAAGTTATACTTCTACTACATATGCATCACTAACAGCTCAGTTCCGAGTGCAGACACGGTTAGCGTCTCAGCCCATCAGAGCTCAGAGAAATAAGTGTGACAATTTTTGCAACCAGTAAAATAAGAAAGAGAAAAAAATATAAGTAACTACTGTCTTTTCTGAGATAATTAGAAGATATGCCTGGCTCTATATAGTTGAACCTGGGTCAGGGTTTGGTGTCTGAGTGCAGACTTAAATATTAAACTGCTGGATGGGTTTACACGATTTCTGTTTGTTCCTAAACAAAGCTTAACTAAGACAGACTGGTAAACATTTCTTGCTAAACGTTAGGATATTGACATCATGTTACACTAACATGTTATTCTTCCATCCACAGTTTATATATTGACAGTGAGTGATAGTTTTGGATCTAAACTCTCGGCTGGGTTTGATAAGGAAAATCCTCAGATCACAGAGCTGCTAGCATTGCTTTAGGTTCTTGGCCCTCTTCCGTTACGTGCAAATATTTTAAAGAGGCAAGGAGCTCTTTGCCCTTCCACACTATAAATCTTGGTTGGCTCTCTGAGTTCAGCCCACAAACCTGACAAATCCTGACATATTTTATGAAACGCTTTTCTAAAATGACCTTCCGTCTGCTCGAGGGCTCCCTCAGCGCATCAGTGCAGACTGTTTTCTGTCAATCTGCCTACCAGGTTTAGTTGTTTTTTTGGGGGGTTTTTTCCTTGTGGATTGTTGAGGAGCCAAATTGACTGTAATAAAGAGATATTTCTTCTCCTTTGCTAATTGCTCATTTTTATATATACCAAACTCAGGCACTTAAACTAACAAAGCTTGGCCTTTATCATATGTCAGGTAAAATATGAAGCTTTTGGAAATCTGAAAATAACTTTGTCAGAGGACTGTAGCCATTACATCCAAAGTACAGTGGAAAGTTGTGAGTTAAGTGGGAGAAGATAGGAAACAGCTGGTGAATGAGTACTTTCCATGTGTAATGCATCTAATGCAAAGGGATACACTAAGAAAGGTCTCTGCCTCAGTGAGTAATCTAACCTCAAATAAGTAATCATACAGTTAGAACCATAAGTATTTGGACAAATACAGAATTTTTATGTTTTTGTACAACAATGGATTTTATAACAGCAAAGATGTGATTGAAGTGCAGATTTTCAGCTTTAATTCAAGGGATTCAGTAAATTTTGCATTAACTGTCTGGGAAATAAAACCATTCTTACAGTCTTTCATGTTTAGATGTTGTTCAAAAGAAATTGAACAACTGACTGACAAGAAATGAACTAATGAACTTGCATTTTGTAGCTGTTCACTGGACCTCTCTGTATGAGGCTCAATACAATATCCCAAGACTTATAAACATTTGCATGTTGTTTTGTTTTCTTTTAATTAACTTTACAGTTTGTACAAGCTGTTTTAATGTATGTATAATTCTCAGCAAGAACAAAAAACAATGAAAATGGTGGGGGCTAGGCTACCGAGAGGTCTCCGAGCTTGAAATGAACACGTAGAAACCTTCAAACAAAATTCAATGAGATCTTCCACTGTTACCCTTTTAACATGATAAACATGTATTTGGAAAAAACATGTATGTATGTAAATATATTAAAAATTGTTAGTAATACCATTAAATATAATTGTTATTATTATTTTTAAAATTATTGGGGGGAAAAAATTAAAATAACAAAAACAGCTACTTTAAATGTAAAAAAGAAAACAAAACAACATATTATTTTTATATATTTTAAGACTATAATTTCAACTGAAAGAAATGTGTCATTTTCATCTAGACACCTGGAGTGTTTTTGACTGTTTCTACTTTACTCTTGTCATTTGCAGCTGATGTGCTGTCCCAGGCACTTGAAAGTCTCTATATAGAACTGATGAATGAGGAGAATCGAGGGCTGTTCATCCACTATGGAGGAGTGCAGAGGCTGCTTTCAGTGCTTCAGGGGAGTCGCACAGGGCTCAACATGCCTATAGACATTCTGATGAAACTCAGTGAGGAGTCCTGTAAGTAGGCTTGTTTTGTGGTAAACACTTTTAGATGAATGGTTATGGCGTGGTGTTTTTTTTTTTGTTTGTTTGTTTGTTTTTCTCAATGCAGCTCAGAGCAAAGACAGGCTTACAGTAAAAGGCTTTGGCTTCCATTGTAATTTTATTTTTCCTATTTTTAGTGAATATAATGTGGTGACTCACAGTTTCTGCAACTTCTGCAGCGTCCTTCTGGTACATTTAACCTAAAAGGGTCAATGCTGATCAGTTCATGAATGTTGATACATGTGCCTGCTGAGTAGCAGTAGTAGTAGATTTGCATTGAGTAGCAAGACGTTTTGCATGCCAAATGTTTTTGGGCATGGTAGTAACCCCAAGTTGCTCTCTGATGCATCCATCAGAGTATGAATATGTGTGAATGTTAGATAGAAAGCACTTGGGTAGAAAAAGCATAGAAATAAAGTGCTTGTATGAATGGATGAATGAGGCAAGTTTATATAGAGCACTTTGAGTTCTCAGAGTTAAAAAGCGCTGTATGAGAACCAGTCCATTTACCATTCAGTCATTGGTATCGCTCACCCTAGGAAATAATTAAAAAGTGGGAATTTGATACATGAATACTATCTGTTAATGTGAATAACTGTAGTCTATTTATTTAAATGATTGTACCTTACACTACAGTGATAACAAAAACAATTTCACGATTGAAAACATTCTTAAATCTAAGATACTTGGTATTTGCACAATGTTAGAAGATATTAAAATCTATTGATGCTCTGTTATCTGACAGTTTAATGCTGTTTGAGGTGGTCCTTGATTTGTTTGGGGTGTTGTTTTTGTTTTTCTTAATCCAGAATAGTTTCTTTAAAGGTATCAGCAATTATATTTTAAAAGAACATTCACAAGGGAAGCAAGGGGCAGCAACATGAAACCATAGACCGTCACTGGCATTCACCAACTCCAAGCAATGACAAGCAAAATAACCACAGACAAACACAAAGTGAGCATGTTCTGAGTGAAACTTTTCTGAACTTCAAGGTGAAACTTTAAAGTAACTACTAATCATAGTGAGGGCTACTGTTGATTGAAATGTTACAGGGTGGTAAAGACATTAGAGAGTTACCTAGGCAACTGGACCTTGGAATGTCCAGGACCAATAATTAGCTACAAACCAATGCCCAGTGAAAGAATGACTTCCTGTATGGACATCCCATAATATTGGTAAACAATTAATTATTTAACAAAGATTGAGTGCTTAAAAAGCAATAATACAAGTCTTTTTTTTTTTTCTCTCTAATCCACACAGTCAAAAGTGTATATATACTGGCTCAATCTTTTAAGGCCTTTTAACATCTCAATAGTGATCATGATGGACTATAACTGGTAGTTTCTCTTTACCAGCTTTACCAATTGATTGACCAATAGATTTGCACAAGTTGGGAAGGGCACTTGAAGCCATTTCTAAACAATTGCATATGAGTTGTTTAGATGTGTCACCAATTTGCCAAGGTCTTGGAGAGAACACCTAAATTCTTACCCTTAGATGAGGCTCAGGAACAACCAAGGCTCAAGCTTGGAAGGAATTGGAAACTGTTGGAACACCAGTGCCCCTGTCCACAGTAAAGTTGGTTTTATATTGGACTTGAGAGGGTGTTGGCCAACAAAGAAGGCACTAAAGACCTCAGTAAATGTCAGGCTTTCAAAAAGCACTGTACCAGCTGTCAAGCATGGTGGTGGTGGTATCATGCTCTGTGGCTGTTGTGTGGTCAGTGGTACTGGTACATTTTAGGAAGTGGGTGAAATCATGAAAATTAAGGGCTACATCCGAATTCTTCAACTTCTTCTGAACTCAGCAGCTACACATTTAAAACTGGACGTGTCTCGGTATTCCAACATGACAATGATCGCAAACACACATCAAAATTGGTTTTGGAATGGATAAAGCATGCACATTTTCAGCTGCTGGAAAGCTCCAATGTCAACAGTGTTGAAAATTTATGGATTATGCTTTAAAGCAGAGTCTGTCCCAGTAAAACGACCCAATTAAATGTCCAAAAAGTCCAAAAAGAGTGGTCAGGGGTCCTGATGGACAATTAACGAAATGCTAGTAGGGGTTGAAAGACTCCAATTACCATGAAATTCATGTCCAAGATGAGTGTATGTAAACCTCTGACCACAACTGTTTTTCATATAGAAAGTGCTTTTTCCTATTACTATTATAGGATGAGTTTTCTAAAAGTGTACAGTTTGTTCATTACAGTTGGAGGAAACAACACAGGAAGCTTGTGTATAAAACATGTTTCGAGATGGTAGTAGTCGGTCTTTTCTGTTCCCAAAGGCTTTAAGCAAAAAAAAAAAAGTGATGCAACACATTGATAAAGAAGTCCCTCTCCTGACTTTTCTAAAAAGGTTATTTTAATTCAATTTAAAATAAGCACATTTATATTTTCACCATTTCCAATAAAATGTAGAGTTCATTTTTTAAAACATATTGCATTCTCTTTTATTTAGATTCTGCTGACTTCTTTGAAAACAACTTTTTAAATGGATGGTTCAAGTTTTATCCAGCTTATGAGCCAATTTTAAAACTGTATAATTCATATTGCCTAAAAACTGGTTTTGATTGACAAAGCTGCTGTGATTACTTTGCTAGCCCTGATTTATAGACTGCTTTGAATATCACAATTTTCTTTGAGTTAAAACAGCCCTCCTGGTGTATCACTCCATATATTCCCCACATAAAAACCACATGTGAAAAATTACGTTGTTTTTTTCTTTTTTGTTTTTTTTCTGAACTTAGATCAATCATAACTAGTGGTCAGGCAATAGATCTGGAAATCGTGGTCATAAAACCTTGGACCCCTACCACTTTCTGTCTTACTTATTGGAAGACAAAAGAGTAGATGGAGGTGGACAAGGTTAAGATACCAGCTGCAGTGTGTTTTCATGGAAGGGTGAGTTCAGCAGGGTTATGAGCCGTATCATTTAAACTGCTGCATACTAATAAACAGCAGGACCATATGCCAGAGGCGACTGGGGACTGAGGTCTGTGTGTTTGTATGTGTGTGCAGATATTTGTGTGTTTCAAGGGGATTGTAAGCCTTGCGAGACTTGCTAATTATTCTGTTTTACAAGCAGTAATGAGGGGAGATGGAAAAGGGCTGAGGAAGAGGGGGAAAGGTTTACACCTTAAGGTTAGCAATAAAAATAAAAAAAAAAAATGTAAAAAGGTCCATTTATACACAAATGTACCAAACATATGTGGTCAAATCGCCTCTTCTTGTACAGAGGTAGTCACATTCCCTACCAGTAACTCAATCTTTTCAACTATTAACCCAGCATAGCTTTAAATAACAGGACCTTGGGGAGTTTTGGTGATAACACTGTTTATTCTACATTTGATTTGACTATATTAAAAATAATTGTCTTATTGAAACATATAATTAGTTGGAGCCTTGTACCTTCTGCTTCACCGGTGGATTATGTTTGTCTGTGTGGGCCATGTTTAAGCTTACATTAAAAGGCTGGAGTTAAAGGCAGTTTAAAAATGCTTAAATTTGAAATTTGTCAAATGTACCTATAAACTGTAAAATGAATACCAGTAGTATTCATTTTACCATAGTTATCCATAGTGATTTTGAGGGTAAGATATTGTTGGAAAAAGACTGACCAATCCATGTTTCCCTTCTTATCTTTGTCATATTATCTTTCTATCTGTCTGATCCTTTCTTATCTAAGCCCGGTGCTATTCTTCCCCATCCATCTTCCGCTGTGATTTGATGCCAGTGGCGCTGCTTCACCAGCCAAAAAAAGTCCCTCTGTTGCTCAGATTGTATTCCCTCGCTGCATGTGTGTTTTAACACACAGCTACTTTTTCAAGGAGCGGGAATGTGACTTTTAGCAGAAACAAATGTTTGTTTACTCGAAATCGTCTTTATTTTAAGGTCAACGTTTGCTGTTATTAATTTAAGAGATCTACAGCTCCCATCTGTGTGCACTGGTGTTGTTGTCCTTTGTTTCATCTCCCTGTGTGAGTTTGTGTATGTTTGAGGTTTGAGGTCAAAGTTAAAAGTGACAATATGGAAATACAATGTTCTAAGAGACACTCTGACCAGCATATGTGTTCCTGTTTTTCTGTGTTATTCATGGTTTGTTGGTGTGTTCGTGTAGTTTTCTTGCTGACAAAATTAAGATGATAATTCCCATCTCTTTAGAAGTTTTGACATTGAATAAAATGTGTTGCAGATCATCAGAATTGATTGCCTTGATAATATCCTGTTCTCTTTGCTTTTGTTGTTGTGCTCATAGGCTACTTAAATTCCTTTCTGGATGCATGTAGCTGTGAAGAGTTTTTCCAAACATCCTTCTTGCTTCTTAAAAACCCTCATCTGGACCTCCCATCTTTGGAGAAGTTCTCCATCCTTCTGCAGAAGCTCTCCAACATCAGGTAGACACAGTGATGTCCATATTAAACATGGAAGCATTTCTCTGGGCGTGGCTAAAAACTACCTGCCTGCTTGGATTCATGTGTTTACGTTTGACTTCATGGATAGAAATATTTAATAGCCAATCAGCATTTGAATAGAAGATTTAGTGGAAGTGAACATGTTTTGCAACATTTATTTTGTGGATTGTCACGACTTACTCCAGGAATACACGAGATTTGTCTTTGCATTTTCAACATGGATTTGTTCATCCTTTGCACAGCTTCAGGTCACAGCTTTTTGTTTTTACCCTGGATATTGGATGCTCTTTCACTCTTTTTCAGTCCAGTCCTAATACTGCACCATTTTTAGAGGAATGCTTTCTTTTATTTATTGGGTTGGAGATCAGTAGCAAAAGTTTTATGGAGTCTTTCATAAAATTTCTCATTTCAAAATTCGAAATGTTTGGTTCAAATCATCATGAGTCTGTATGAAGTAGGATTGGGAGGAAGGTATAATGGCTTTGTCATGGTTTGGGGTTGCATTTTAGCTTGTGATCCCAAATACACTGCCAGTGTACTAAAAGTACACCTCAATAGAAAGTGACACAATCAAACACTGTCAGTTATGCACTGGCCTCTTCAGAGCCCAGACCGCAACATTATTGAAGTGGTGTGGGATCATTTTGACAGAGAATGGAACAAAATGCCGCCAACATCCAAAGAAGAGCTTTGATTGTGCTTCAAGAAGCGCATTTAATGTTGGAGAACTATTACCGAAGATAACTGAAAGAAATTACAACAAAGCTTGGCTATAAAAGCTCAGGCTGTGTCGAATAATACATTTGGTCATAACAAATATTGATTTTTAAGCTTGTTAGAATGTTGTAAACGCTAAATTTGCTTCTTAGACCCTGTTTTCATGTACATTTACAGGTTTTATTAAATCGCTTTCAGCTCCCATTTTCCTTAAAAGATATAAAGAAATGAGGGGTGGGCGCAAGACCTTTTCACATTACTAGATTTTAAGGGATATGTTTGCTAGCATTTAGCATATTAGCAGTCTAATAAAACAACCTAAACAATGTCCCAAAACGTCTTATGTTGTGCCATGGAGCACTAATTTGTATTTTTGATATGCAACATTGGAGGCTAGAGACATAATGTGAAATTTGAAACAGCACAGTAATGGACTTTGTTCACAGCAGGTAGAGACAAACACTTTGTTTTTCATTTTCTTTTTTAACTTTTTCCAGGAAGAACCATCATCTGTTTGAACTTTCCTCCCTGCATCTCCAAATAGAAGAGCTGCATCACAAAACCAAAAACACACACGCTTTCCTCTGCCTGAACCTTAGATCGATCCTCCACAACATTAAATAATACAATTCTCATCGTGTTGGTCTGCAGAGACTTATTCAAGATGACATCCCTTCTCCTTCACTATTTCAACACTTTCCCTGGATTCTGTTTGGGGTTTTTTCTTCTTTTTGAAAGATTTGCTTAAACTTCAAAAGTACATGAAAACAGCAGCTCCACCCTGGTTTACCTCAGATTATAACTGGACACATGCTTTCTTTATTAGTAATACAATGAAGTGTTTGTATTTTATTTGTCATAAGCACTTTGATTTAAAGCTGTGTATGTTTTAAGTCTCTGACCCATATTTTTCGTTTTCCAAAATGCAAATTGTTCTTTTTTTGGAGATCATAAACCCATTTTTCCATATAAAAGTGAGTGTCACTCTTGCCAAGAGAGGTTGTGACTGTAAAATGGTTTAATAGCAATAAACAAAAAGAACTGAAGCATATTAAGTTTGGATGGCACATGAAGTACTGAACCCCCCCTGTGTTTTGTATAAACTTGTCTCATTTCTTTGTTCCAGAGCAAGTCTGAGTTGACAGAGAGTAATAGTCTCAATATGAGATGCGCTAGTGGTGGTTGATGGAACGCACTGGAGCAATTACAGCTGATATTTCAAATATAATTGAGTCATTCTTTGGTGAATTTAAAGGTTATACATGCAGGTTTTTTAATATCCGCAAAGCAAATCCCCAATTAATTACGTTTGTTAAAGTGCAGACTTCTGCTCAGGTTAGGTTTTTGGAATGAAAGATTTGTGTTCTTAAATCACGTGTTTATTGTAAGATATAGACTACCATGTACTCTGTCATTGGGTTTCTTTGTAAACCCCAAAAAACTGATTTAAATTTGCACATGATTTGATTCACTGGTAAACATGACGCACTTCCTGGGAGGCAACATGTCATTTTCAGATAAAACTACTGATTTATATTGACATTTTCCTCTTGTTTCTCCCAGTAAAAATCTGAGCGTCTTCTGCTCCTATGTTTTTGTCGGTGCCATCATCTCCAAACCATACATCACAGCAGAGCTCAGTGGCATCTTGTAAATCTTCCTTTTCACTGTTGCTGCAATCCTGTCACAAATTACCCCTGGCACTCATCTCCACCCACTCTACCCTGCTGCACTCTCTTCTTCACCTCATTTGTGCACCTATACATTGCTTTAGTTTGATTGTTGAAACTCATCTACCTTCACTATTTCTACTCCTCGCATGTTCACCTACCCCTTCAAATGTGTTCTGTCCTGCTTCTGCTGACTTTCATTCCTCTTCTCTTCAGTGCAGACCTCTACCTTTTCAGACTGTCTTCCAGGAGAGACTTCCCAGAGCCCTCCTACCTGACCTCATCTGTCAGCCTCTGCGAATTAAAAAAAAAAAAAAAAAAGGTGCTCTGAGCCAATCTGTGATAAAATCCCACCTGTCCAACCACACACCTCATCACATTCTCATACACGTTCTGCACCAGCCTCACATACTTTGCTGCCACTGCTGACTTCCTCAGTTACCACAGTCCCTCTCTTGGAACCCTATCATGCTTTCTCTAGATCCATAAAGACCCCGTATAACTCCCTCTGACCTCTGTAGTTCTCCATCAGCACTCTCAAAGCAAACATCACATCTGTAGAGCTCTTTCTCAGCATTGATCATCACCTCACCCCGACTCTGCCATGGCGTCTTGGCATGGCTCATCAACTTATTCCATCTGTAGTGCATTTCTCTTCTCTTACTGTCCAGCTTCACATACAATTCACTATAAGCCTTTTCCTTTGCCACCTCTCTATGCCGCCTTCCTGTACTACTGTCTTCTTCCTTCATCTCCCACTTTTTCTTTCCCAACCCCTTCCTTTGAATACTTTACTGTACTTCCTCATTATACCACTAAGTCTCCTTGTCCTCTTTCCGTTGTCCAGAGGATACATCAAACAGATTCTTGGCAGTTTCTCTCAGCACTATGGCTGTACCTTCCCAGTCATTTTGTAACTCTTCATTACTACCCAGAACCTTTCTCAATTCCTTCCTGAATTTGGTGCAACATTCTTCCATTTTCAGCTTCCACCCTTTAATCCTTGCCTCTGCCTTCACTCACTTCCTGTTCTTGAAGTGTTACAGACTACCATCAAATTCTGCCTAATTGCAGAAAGCACCTCGCAGTGTGTATGCACCACTTTAATCTGTGTATAAAGTCATTTGTATATTTCTTTGTTACAAGGAATACCTGTGTTATATCCATCTTTGATGTTTTTCATGTCATGGGATGATAATGGATAACAACGTAGCTTTTGGCCAGTAGCTCTGTTATAAATAACCTACCTTCAAATCTGCTCTCATTCTCCTGATTCCTGCACGCTGCAGAAGGACAAACCAATAAATCCACTTACATCTACTTAAAGTCACAGGCCCTAAAATTCAAAGCTTCAGGATTTTGCTTAAGAATTATAAAGAAACTTTTATTACTGTTTGAGGTTGCACCAACAATTTTATTGATCAGTTGTGTGAGTGATGTGTTTATAGTTAGAACTATAGAACAGGTCATTATCACTCTTAAACATAGGGGCTTTAAATCATATGATATCTTTATCATATCTCTCTATAGATAGTGAGCGAGAGAGAGCGAAATTATCTGTCTCTCTCAGAGGGAGAGAGATTTTTCAATTATTCCTGTATTCCTTTGTTGAAAGTAAATATTATATGTTTGTCCCTTGATATTAAAATAGAATTAGGAGTATCAGAAGACCAAATGTGGATGAAAATTATTTATTTGCTTGGTTTTTGCTTCACACTTTTGTAAGGTCAGTACACAAAAGAATAAACTTAAAGTGTTTGTGGTAGCACATCAATATGTTCTGAATTTGTCTTAGAGAAGTCTGAATAATTTAATCTTTCGGTTCAGGCCATGTGCTGTGTGGTTAATGAAATCTCTGTCAACGTCAGCATGTTAAATCCGCTGTTTCATCCTCATCTGTCTCTCTTTGGGTGTAGTACAGATTGAGCTGGAGCTCAGCATCCATTCACTCGTCACTTTCAGACTTCGTCAACTCATCTGTTGCTTTGGCAAAGCTGCAATCTGGAGATGTTGTGCAGAATGGTAACACGTGCAGTCTGTGCCATTTAAACAGTGTTGTCAGGTTAAAACAATGTTTCTTGATGAGCAGTCAAGTTATCCTATAGGTACCACTTTTGTGGATACACAAAGACCAACATTTTCCTGTTGGAAGCAGCTGTCAGAAGATGGGTACACTGTGGTCATAAAGAGATAGACGTGATCACTAACAGTACTCTGGTAGGTGTTTAAATGATGCTTACTTGGTACTAAGAGACCCCATGCATGGCAAGGAAATATGCCCCACAGACTGAACAACTGATACTGGCAGATGGATCCTTGCTTTCATGTTGTTTACACCAAATTGTGACATCTGAATGTCAAAACAGAAATAAAGACAGAACAAGCAATGTTTTTCCAATCTTGCCCAGTTTTGGTTAGCCTGGATGAAATTTTGGTCTTCTGCATACCTTAGTGGTTGTTTGAGTTACTGTTGCCTGAAGCAGTCTGGCACCTCTGGCACTAACAACCATGTCACATTGAAAGTCGCTTTCCTAAACCCCTTCTGTTGCTCAGTTTGAACTTCAGCAGGTCCTCTTCACCGCCTCTACATGCCAAAATGTGTGAGTTGCTGCAATGTAATTGGCTGATGAGAAAAAGCCGTTAAATACCTTTTAATTACACCTCACAAAGATGTTTCTCTAGAACTAACCAAATATATCTTAAGTGTAGTTCATTAGCCTTAATATAATCTCGTTCCCTTTGTTCTACTTTGACTGTACTGTAGTCAGCATGCAGTAATAATGAATGTTAAAAAACACTGTAATTGAAAAGAATGCAGAATCATAAAATATGCTATCGCTATCTTGTGGTCTCTCTCATTATAGGCTTTACAATTCTAAGTGTTGCATTTGATTGTCTAAATCAAATGCAGTCAGATGCCAAAACATTTAGACATTTCCAACATACATATTTATTTAAAAACACAATTTTGAATTATCTCAAGCATCTTTTTCTGCTTTATATTCTGTGATTAAAAAGTGTTCTCATAGGTGCATGTTACACAACATAGTGTGATATTTAAGTGGCCAATAACTGTGTTATATACAGCTAACACAGATCTTTTCTCTAAGAGACATCTGCAGCAACGTGACTGAAACGCTCCAACAAAGGATAGACAGAACTGATGGAACTCACTGTTGCTATTTATTTCAGCTAACTTTTCATCAGTGAAATTTATTGTAGCTGACATGAATTCAAGGTGCAGGACTCTTCAAACATTTTACAGCTGTCTTTCTACACTAAACGCGATGGGCGTTTGACAGTAAAATGGATTTTGGACAGAGTATCACTCTAACGAGCCCTTGACTGCCTATGTGTCTATTCCAGGAACTGTCAACAGATGAATTATTTACGCTATGAGCCTGGTTCACACTGCAGTGTCTGGCCTGTGTTTCCTAACAGGCTCACGTCTTCGAGTCTGCCCTGAACAATATCATCTGCATGACTTTATCCTCTGAACTTGATTTATATTTGGGGGGTTTTTTAGTGGTAAAAAAAATTAAGAAAATTACCCCGAAAGTCGCCCTGCTCTGGTTTGGCTGGTAAACCTTATTAAAATGTTTTCTGGTAAGGGGGAAGCATCAGCACTTCCAATCCAGCTAAACCTTAGAGCTGAGACAATCAGCAATTTAATGTGGCAGCCCACCAAATGTTTATTATTTCCACCAGCCACAATATGTGTAAATACACTCTTTAAGTTTTAAGTAATGCAAAAAAAAGGTCCAAGGAGGTTCTGGTAATATACCTGACTGTAAATGAGCAGTTGTGTGATGAGGCAAAGTGGAACCAGCTGTCGGGGTTTCATATATGGTGGAAAGGCTGGGGTTACACCAGTTTCCAACTTTGAGTTTGTTTTTGCTTCTGTCAAATGTCAAGCCTGATTTAAACCAGGGGATTTTCGTACATATTGCTTTGCCTGGTGTGTGTCCCCGTGCCTCTAAATTTCTGTTTGTTTTTCTGGTTTTCACGATGTGCTGAAGGCCTGCATGTGATGGCTCTGACTCGTAAACTTTTTCTGTTGCTCAACATAACTGCAGAGTTGGTCAAAGGGGAAGAACAATATGAACACTATTATTTTCGAATTTAACAGGAGTCCCAGATTTATATATTTTATGTAACTGTTTTGCTTCATCCTTCTGTTTGTGAGATGGAAATAGTTACAGCAATTAGCAGGATTTTATAAAAAAGAGTCAAAGTTGGTTATGTGGTAGTGAGCTTTAGGGCTGTCTTGAAGATTTTAGGCTCTGCGCATACAAGCCATCGGTGTCCCTCTGCTTTTACTTAGTGCTAAGACGATCCCCTCCATATTCCAGGCATGTGAGTGCACCAGTCTTCAGTTGAAGAACTTTTAATTGATGTGAACACATTTATCTGGAACTCCAGACAGATTTAGTTTAGATCCATAAAAGTTATAGAAAATACACCTGGCTGGGGTCTGGACACTACATGCTCTTTGATGTGTCTGCAAGTGAGTGACAGGGTTTGGTGTGTGCATGTTGGTGTTGCTGTCTGGCAAAGGTTTAATTACCCTCATGGTTGGCACTCCTTGCCCTGAAGAAGCTTTTTATGGCTTCATCCCTTGTCATATGAAAGTAAGCCATGCCAAGTGCTTTAGATGCAGTAACAGCCCCTGAAGACAAACACACCCCTCCTCACTACTACCCATGTGTACCTACTCTGTGTATGTGTGAGGACTGGAAGGCATATTTAGTGGGAAGGACTATTTGTGGTCAATTTTGAGTATTTGAGACTAGATGAGAGAGAGACCTCAATGCATCCCCGATGCCCCAAAGCAGCATCGGCTTGTTTCCACTGCCAGCCAGAGTTTTTTTTTTTGTCTTTCAACCAGCCTTAAGATCCCATTCGCGCACACACACACACACACACACACACACACACACACACACACACACACACACACACACACACACACACACTTTATTGTTAGACTGAGGTCTATTCAAATTCTGGCACACACCCACACTAAGCAAAAGCCTGATAACAGAAATGTGTGCAGAGGTGATGACTGCCACTGCAGAGGATAATGCCACGTGGATAGAGAATCGTTCTTGCAGGTATCATCTATACTAAGATCTGTGTTTTTGCAGGTCAGGTTACATTATCTAAATGTTCTCAAACTGGAAGGATGACGCAAACGCAAAGATCACAAGAGTTTGTATTCTTCATACTTTGGTAAGAACTAGTGATTAAAAGAAATACCTTGTAGTGCGGCATGATAATAAGAAGTAATTATCCCGATAAAGAAAACAGTACTTTGGTTAGCAGTAGAAAGCAAGTGGGAAAGATCAAACATTTTGAGGGAGAGATATGAGTTGAACTCATTGTGTTGTCTTGTCCTAAGGTCTTTTCCCAATAAAATCATCTTTCATTTGTCTAACCGTCTAGTTAATATGTCACATTTAATTACCTTTAATTTAATGTTGAATGAAGTGGAAAATCCTGCGATTAGTGATTTGCCATTTGGTGTTTTCAAGCCATTAACCAACCCTGTCAGTGTCAGCAGTAACGGCTGACTAACAGCCATCTGTGATGAAGAACTTTATGGGGTATTCATTTCTGACATGATTCAAGACACATATGGTACTCTTTTTATGTATACTCAGTCTGTGTATTGACTATTGTAGATTATAAAGTAATAATGATAAGTTAGAATCCAAACTGAATACTTTATTTGTATTTTCTTACTCCTGTGCCACATCTGTATAGGTGATATATTAAAAGAATTATCAATGTAAAGTCCCTTAGTAAAGCGTTCTCTCACAGAGCAGATCATCTTCAATGCACCTTTGTATAGATTTTAGAAGTTCATTAGAACTTCATGCTCACAAAAGCCATTCCCCTTTTGAAGATGGTTCTAGTGAGAGCTCCCTGACAGGCTGGTCAAAAAAGGGTTCATGTGAGCTAAGCTCTGGTGACTAAAATTAATACATGGGATATGTGTATCATATAATTTAAGGATAAGCGAAGGAGAACGGATGAATGGATAATTTTCAGCTCCCATCCAGGTGCTCAGTGCCACCTTGTGCCCTGCAGATTGGGGTAATGTCATCCTAAGGGAAAAAAATGGGTAAAGACGATCTCTGGGATGATTTCTCTCGTTTTATACTGAAGAGAGTCTCTAAGCTGCCACAGGACAAGATGTGGTTTTACACCCCTGGACAGGCTGCTAGTCTATGAAGGGTCCAACATACCAGGCAAAAGTACAAAATACACATTCATCCAACATATTACAACATATATCCAACAGTTATAAATAACCATCTACCTTCAAATCTGGTTTCATTCTCCTGATTTCTGAACGCTGCATAAGGACAAACCAATAAATACACAAACAGATTAAAATACCATGCCATTTCAGCCATACATCTTTATTAAGATATAGTTTATGTACAATAATAAGTTATATATACAGCGACACTTTGGTTCTGTAAAAGAGTTTGTGTGTTTTTACATGCTCTACTATACTGCATGTGCTACTGAGGTAAGTAATTCATGTTTGGCTTCTGCTTGTTATTATGTCAGCATATTACATGTCATACAAAATTTGTCTTAAAACAGGCTGCACTTCAGTCCACTGATTCACAATTTTTTTTTTCTTTTTAAAAATCTATCAACAGCATATTACAATTCAAAAAGAATATTTGTGAACTGAAGTGGATTTGATGATGACAGTCAAGCTCTAATAAAGCAGTACATTTAATTGTAAGCTTTAAATCAAGAACAAGCAGATTCTGGAGTCATACTTGATAAGCATAAATGTAAATAAATTTAAAATAATGGAGTCCAGCTCCAGGTTGGCATGTAAAATGGGAACAACGAGCTTTAGGAAAGAAAAAAGTCTGTGCTTATCAGTCATGGCAGATTACCCAGACAAAATCAGGTATCAAGGCAAGTTTATTTATTCAGATAAAGATCCGCTCCATTCCCGAGAAATGAGATCAAAGCCAGTTTCGGCACTGCGTGGTTAAGTTTGGAAGCTTAAATTCTGCAGGAAGCAGCAGAGTCAACCTACAGCATGTTAACTGTTAACATCACTTATAATGGACTTCAGGGGATCATTAAAATGCAGGTCTTTAAAAAGGTTCAATCAGATGCTTAACAGACCCACAGTTTATTTACTGTACGTACAGCACCTAAGTGGCTTCAGCTGCTTTCCAGAACTCACACAACTGCATGCTGATCTTGTTTGCTATATTGGTCCCATCGGGGAGAGGCGAGCTATAATCCTGTGTGTGAGCATGACTGAGCTAACCACAAGAGCTGAATAAGACCAGACGTTATAGGACACAACTGTAGTGCTACCTCCACCGCAACCGACTGCACCGTCTCACCGTTGACAGCGCAGCAACCCCGGAGGCATTTAGTCATTCCTCTGGCCTGGCACTGCTCTTTTTAATGCAGTGATTTTATAGCTTTTCCACTGGGCTTTCAGTGGTTAAGTGGCCCTAAATGCTTAATTAGGTGCTGGAAATCACAGGCACTTTACACCCGCTCTGTAAACCGCAACACTTCAGCCTATTAGGGGCATGGGGAGCCACACGCCAAATAATTAGGGCTGGCGGCAGCACTAGACCACAGTATTGGGGTATAAGATGGAAGAGGGCGAATTATTGAGGTGGAGGGGGGTCAGAGAATGGGTCATTGCTAAGGAAGTACGTGAAGTAAGAGAGTATGTGAGAGATGTGTGTTAAACTTGTAGGCGGTGGACTGCGGACGCACGTGCTTAGATGGAGTACAGGCAGCGGAGTAGTGTTCATTCAGTGTATGGGATTAAAGCTGAAACACTGAACACACCACCTAAAACGAGTCCATGTGTTTTTGGGGTTTTCTTTTTTTTTTTGTGAGGTGCTTGGTTGAACTTTTCCATACACAACATCTGCTTGTGATCAGTGTTTCCACATTTACCACACATATGTTAATCAATGAATAAATCCGGTCGGTGTTTTAAAGTAAACAAGAGTGCAAAGTCAACCCAAAACTGATCCTCCAGAATAAAAATATCACAATCCACTCTAGCACACTGTTGTGTGTTTGCTGGTGACTCCACGGTTTAGGGAGAGACGCCAGGGCGTCCACAAACGGCCAGAGTTCGCAAGCAGGTTTACCAAATGTAAGCCGAGCTGAGCTGAAGGATGTTTTCCACTCAGACACAATGACTGCTCTAATCAGCCGTTTTTCCTGTTTTAAGACATGACTGAGTTATGAATGTTCGCTCATGCTGCGGTCACACCAGATCGCTTTCTGTATATGGATACAAACGTCTGGTTATGTCACTGCGGCAAGGCTTTGGTGAGAAACTTAAGTGAGTGAGCCAGTAGGAAGGCATCCTCAGTCTGCCACTTTCCAGTGACTTTCCATTAGCATGCCATTTCATCTTTTCCTGGTGATTTCTTAAAAAAAAATTTTAGGAAAAAAAAGAACTGTGCATCCAGCGCACAGGCTTTCCACATGATTTTTTACTAAAGTGTTGCATTTATGAAAGTCAAGAATCTATCAAAATGGGAGCTAATTCTGATTCTTATATTCTTGCAAAAGAGAAATTATTTGAAATGGCAAACTTGAGGTTAATGTGAATCTGAGGCCTTTGATTTTGCTCTCTCTTTCAAACACTTTGAAAGAGAGAAAGTGTTTTTCAAACTATTAGCTTTTATACATAAAAGAAAAAAAGGACTATGGACACTAAAGTCCATCGACATTCTTCATCTAATGGGGTAACGTGTGTATTTAAATGTGCTTTCCTCCTTGTCAGAGCAGTAAATGTCCGTACATACATGTGTACTGTAAGGCAATCAAGTCTCTAAGTCTCTTATGTTTCTGCTTCACTTCTTATTTAAACACTGGCGCAGCGATGGGATGGAGATGGGCAGGGAGAAGGACACACTAACTGGCTGTGAAAACTGCCAATTCCCTGCCGTCCAGCCACTGCTGCCCCCTCGCTACTGCCCAGCACATCTGCACAGAGCGACTCCACGGCATCCAGCCTTTCGATCTGCACCAGGCGAGTAAGTAGGTCGGGGATGCTGTAGCCCGCCGTACTAACTCTCTCGAAGAGCTGCAGGCCGTCGCTCATGCCGCCGATCTCGTCGCGCTTCAGTCCAAAACTCTCAGCCAGGTGCCTCCAAGTCTTCACCACGGCGGCGTCGCTGCTGTAGGAGGAGCTCAGCATGCGGCTGGCCTTCTCCAGGCAGTCAAAGGGAAGCTCTGTGGGGCTGAGGCCTGGGTAGAGACAAATAAGCTTGTTTCAAAACTTTCATTCAAAGGTTCAGTGGACCTGTAGATGCCATTAACCCCTTAAAATCTATTTTAACATATCTGGTTTTTATGAGTTTTTCAGACTTTTACATAATCAGTGTGATATTTATTTCCTCTCAAATATCTGATAAATTGCACAATGAATTTTTAAGCAATAAATTGCAAAAAAAATACAGAAAGTATGGCACAAAAAACTCATATATATAAATTAATATTGAAATATTTTTTTGTTATTTAGCTTTATTTTATGGAGTAGAGTTCGAAGGTCACAGGTTGTCACCAGAAAACTGTGAAACCATCCCACATGTTGTTGATGATAAAACTTGTTACAGAGGATATTTTCCTCTAAGTGACAGATTTACCCTCGGTCGCATTGCAGGCTCTGGCATACAGATCTAGAATCTTTTTCCTCCGACTCTGTAGCATCTGTGAATTAGAAGGAAAAAAAAACGTTATCCCAAGATGATACTTAACTGAGAATCTGTTCATAATCAGATTTTTTTTCTCCACTATAAAGGCCTCGTCTTCCTACCCCTGGGGTTTTATTGTTGTTGTTGATCCCATTCACACTGCTGATGTGGTTGCTGCTTGCGATGCGGTTGACATTGTTCATGTGGTTGGGACTCGGGATGTTAGTCTGACTGGCTGCAATGCCTGGGGTGCCATTGCATACGCGGCCACGGTCCAAGAGCCCCAGGGAGAGCAGGCAGAGGTCGGGTTTGTTGCCTAGGTTGACCAGGCACAGGTTAGGGTCGAGGTTAGTGGTCTCTGCCGAGCCCTGCTTTTCTGTTCCCGCCTCCTCGTCGCTGTCGATGCTGCGGCTCAACAGCTGCTCATTTTCTGAAGATGCATCATTTTCACTGCAAATATAAACACATACGTAAGTATGCATACATAGGTCAATGATACTCATATTTGCAGGTATTTAAAATGTGAGTATATGGTATGCAGTCGCAAGACCACAGTCAGCAGTCCTCAGTGGATTAGAAGCAGGCACCTCTAAGCTACAGAGGTGTCCACCAACACCTCAATGCCTTAATAATAAACACAAATGCAGTTTGCTTAAGGTGTACAAAGTTTAAAGGGTTAACCCACCTCACTAGTTCCTGGTGAGGATTAGTTATTTCTGTGAACTTCAGAGACAGTGATTGGTGGATTTATTTACCTGCGGGCAGTTCTATTATTCAATTTCTAGTCTCTATGACTTTTTCTGGCATGCCTTACTTCAGAGGTGAAGGAAAGTTCACTGCCTCACCACCATGCAGTGTTTTTAGCGATCAGTAATCATAAAACATTTTTATTTAATAAATGGAAAATCAGCTATTTGTTTTTAATTTTTCCTAAAAAAAAAAAATCACATTTATTCAACTTAATTTCACCTACTCTGCCTCATCCCGCAGAATTGCTCTATAGCAAGCTGCTGTTCTTTTTATTTAATGACATAATAAATAAGATAAGGTAAATGTACTGAACTGCCCTAGGTGTAGCTAGGTATGCCAAATGAACTGGCAACTGCACGTTTACACTTGAACGCTGCTTTTCACGCATAAAAAGCCACTCTTTTGTTGCAGTCAGAGCAATTCTGTCCTGCCTGCTGTAACACTATTACATTAACATGCAAATGGTGACAACTAACACCCAAAGAATGACTTTTGTCTTTGCAAACGTAGCAGGAATCAGAGAAGAATGCTGTTTTGTTGCTGATGTTTCTAAGCAGTTCCTGTGATTGACTGAAATAAGCAGGGCATTTTAAAATATGATACTATGTAATATCATTTTAATACCGCTCCTCTCCCTCTTTCTCTCTCTGCTCTGGATTTTCTCGCAAAAACGCTTTTTTTTGACAGAGATGCTTACAGAATGCCATTGTTTCGATGTCCTGGACTCATCTTCTAAACACACACACACACACAACATGGCATTGTTTCCCAGACATCTTACACCCACTCTGGCAGCTAATGCAGTGAGTTAGCACATCCTCTGGCATGCTGCTGTACCACACTATTTATGCTGTGGAGTGTGTGTGTGCATATGTGTGGCTCTTTTATTCTCTAATTTACACCCATCTCAGTATTATCAATCTAAGCGTGCTGACTACGAGCACTGTAACATCTGAACACAGTGCTTCATTGTAACTTTGCGTGCAGTACTGTATGCTTTATGCACATTAGCCACCAGCAGCACTGTCCTCACATGCGGAACAAGATGTAGGTGAAAGAGGAAGGTAAGAAAACTGTCGTTCTTTTGTTGTCTGCCAGGACATGCTTTTACCTGGTGGTGGTTTAAGATGAGGCCTGGAATAAATACCCCTATCCCGCTTGACAACTACCCTCTCTGTTTGTCTCTCGGTATTTGCCAGACTTCAGGGCTCATCTGTAGCCCTCACATCCCCCTCCAAACCCACCTCCTTTGCCTTCTCCAAAGCCACATAATGGCTTTCTACTAAATAAAAAAAAAGACAAAGAAAAACCCAAAATGAATGTGTTTTGAACACTACACATATGTGTATGTGTATATACAGGACAAAACTGCAGTGACTTGTTTTGTGGTCGCTTAATTATGGGCACGTTCCGGAATACTGATTAAAGATTCTCTTTGTTGAGTCTACGGCACCAAATACAAATGCAAATGCACACATTAGTATACACAAACATATAACGCACATTCAGAGTGTCGCCTCTTCATTGGGTACACATGTGATATCTAATGAATCTGCATTTGCCATAAAGTAAAAATTTATGAAAGTAAAAAAGTAATTCTACTTCGTGTGGTTAAGAAAGTCACAGTGGGTGTGCCTAACAGTGAGTGGACATATACATTATTAGCGATACATTTAGCACAGTTATCCTGAAGTCACCAACATTTGCACATTTCATCTATGGATAGTGTTACGCTTGGAAGATAAAAGTATTTTGGTTTGAAGACCACACACAAGTTTGTTCATTTACAATTTAGGAGTAAATGGGTTGGCAGTTATTCTTTCATACCTTATTATTCCTTTTTTGAACTTATTTTCCTAAATGTGATAATTTTTCTGCTTATGTCCACATATGTTTGGCTTCTATAACCTCAGTATAATAAAATTACAAGACCCTTTTTGCTGTTTTATAGAAATTTCATACAGTTAAAAAAAGTCAATAAACATTCAGCAGATCCATTTAAACTCATTTGTCTAATCATTATTGTAATTAATAATGTATTTAAAATACTATCGCTGCCAACTTTCTTAGTTTCATGTTGCTAGTACCAGATTGGACCCTCTTCTGCCTTCAGAACCGCTTTAATACTTTGCATAGATTCAACAAGCTGTTTGAAACATTCAGAGACTTCGGCCCATCTTGACAGGCCAGCATGCAGTTGCTGCAAATTTTCAGCTTTTTTCAGTCCGTGATATGAATCTCGTGTTCGACCACATCCCAAGGATGCTCTATTGGATTGAGATCTGGTGACTTTAGAGATGATCTGAGTGCAGTGAACTCATTGTCATGTTTAACACAAGTTTGAGACTATTTGTGATATGTTACCGCGCTTCTAGCGGCCATCAGGATATAGGTACACCATGGTACTTCTGCTGCTGTAATTCCTCTGCTTCAAGACTTGACATGTGGATTCACAGATGCTCTTCTGCATACTTTGGTTTTAACAAGTGGTTATTTGAGTTACCGTTGCCTTCCTGTCAGCTCGAAGCAGTCAGGCGATTTTCCTCTCTGGCATCAAAACCTCATTTTCAGCCAGAGAGATGCCACTCACTGAATATTTTTCTTTTTCAGACCATTCTCTGCAAAAATCTAGAGATGCTTGTGTAGGAAAATCAAAGTAGATGAGCAATTTCTGAACTACTCACACTAATCCATCTAGCATCAACAGCCACGCCACCTTCAAAGTCACTGAAATGACCTTTCTTCCCCATTCTGATGCTCAGTTTGAACATCAACAGGTTGTCTTGACCATGTCTAAATCCCTAAATCCATTTAGTTGCTGCCATGTGATTGATTGATTGTACTGTAGCAGATTTTCTATTATAGCCTTGGTTATAAAGATCTCACTGGATAAAATAAAGTCTTTTGTTTATCGCCTTGATCTAAATCCCTAAAATCATGCACGTGTGTGTGGAACACTTCATCTTTTGCAGACCCAGTGTAGCTGAGCTCATAACAAGCTGCATGTCAGCTCTTACCGGATCACACTTTCAGTTTTTTGCTGCCTAAAACTTTAAGCTGCCTGGATTTTTTTTTTACCAGCAATCACAGAGAAGCTTTTCATTTTGTCTGAACCTATTTGTGCACTCAGGCTGAAGTAGGCCAGTGAGACAGACTCTTCTCTCACCTTTTCACAGTCTTCTGAGGAGGAGCTTTCAGTTTGTCGAACTCGTCTTTCTCTGAGAATATCACCACATTGTCTGCGACAACAAAAGAGAGAGCGCACAGGATTACTGGTGTTTTCAGAATAAGAAAACCAAGAGACACACAGAAAACCTCAGTGACCATAAGACATCAAGTGTGCTACAGTACATGGTGTCGAGACACATTATTCACCAAACAAACCCAAAAATATCATCGACAAAAATTCGTTACGAACACACAAGTGATCCACAAGCCCCAAACTAAAAAGAAAAGCGCACCAATCCACTTTTGTCAGCTTTTTTTGACTGCATCAAACGAGCAATTTTTAATCCACATTGGCATCAATTAGAATATAAATATGAACATGGGTTCCTGAGGCTAAAAGCTTTTTTTCCTTAAAACGGAACTGCACTTGGAGTAATACATAAAAATGATTACAGCGGATATTATATTAAATTACACTTACATCATGGACACTGATAGGGATAGACAGCATAATGAGTGAATACCAAAGTGGAACAAGCCCTGTGTGTGTGTGTGTGTGTGTGTGTTTGTGTGTAAGGGTGTGTGTGAAATAAAGCGCCTGTGTCTTTCATCTTGGAGCCTTATTAAGTCAGTGTCTACATGAGTGGCAGATAGCACCGGTAGAGCTCCAAGCAATGGGCTTGTCTCCCAAATACACACACCAGTCATCCAGAGTGCATTCACAGACTCGCACTGACCCAGCCAATTACGATAACCCAAAATTAACTAACAATGCAGACATTTAGCTTTAATGACTCTCTAACCACTTTTTTTTTTCTTTTTTAACCTATCACGTCTTAAGTCTTAATGTGTCTGTGGCCAGTGATACAGTAACTGTGTGAGTGTGTGTGTGTTCTCATTTACACCACATGTAAGTGGTTAGTCAGCCAGTCTGGGATTGAAATCGAACAGAGCATCATTGTCATGAAAAACGGCGCCTAAAGCAACGTATGGCTTCGTCTCTAGAAGCTTTTGCATTCCACCATGATGTATTCATCACGCTGCACGTCTATCAGCCTACACACACACACACACACACACATAAAGTGTAAAAGCACACAGCTGCATTTGAATACATAACGCTCCAAATTGTATGTGTGCACATAAATACAGCAGAGTATTAACATTTATACAGGATTCTATTAGATCTGATGAGATGATACAGTTTGTTTGATGACACATGGTCAGCACTGCACTGGTTGCAGGACAGATTTTAACATGTGTCCTATAATTCACATGTGGAAGCTGCTCCAAGCGCTCTTCAAATGCAAGGAAACACTTTTTTTTTCTTCTTCAGTATGTAATGGTTGCAGAACAGACTGCAATGTCTAACTTCAATCAAAAAGAAAAATCATTATCAGCTGAGCCCAGAGCGCTTCAATAAAGCGTTGGGTAATACATGTGTGGACACCTTGTCCAAAGATAACATTCGGTGTTTGGTTTGACAAAGCCAGTCACTCATTTACCTGAATTAAGGTTTGTAAGGGTTTTTTTCTGCAGGATTTAGTGCTGCCGCGTGGTTTCTATTCATACTTCCGCTGACTGCTGAGCGCATTCGTGTCATCGCAACTATTTTTTGAGTCATCTTATAGTCTTTAAAGCTAAGAGTGGAAAAAATGCTAATTAGAGTTGCTCTTGTTTCTCTAATCATGTACATTTGTGTGTCTTTGTGCTATTTGAAGCGCGCTTTTTAAGTTTGATTTAACTTTATCGAGTATATATTTTGTGGGCTAAGCTTTTGAAAATGTGCAACATGTGAGGGGAGTTTATGGAAACATGGCAATGATCAGTTAGTGACTGTCGGCCTGTTTACTTTTACAGATATGAAAACAATGAGAAAGTTAGAGAAGAAAAACAGATGGTCGGCGCATAAACAACCCCTAATGTCCCAAAGTAAATCTATGCTCGTAGTTATTTTGTTTCTACCCTTCAGGACAGGGAACTATCCTCTTGGAATAGATTGTGGAAGAAATATCTTGTGGTATATTAGCTTATAATTGCGTCTATATTAACTAAGTACTCTGAATGATGCCGGTAACTGCAGCTACTTTTCTTCTTAAGCACAGCTGACGTTGGTTTTAAGAACAAAAAGAAAAGGGGGGAAAAAAGCACCAACTTTATGTGGCCTTAGAGTTGAAAGCCAAATTTGTGGCACATATGCTTGAAGTGGAGAGTTCCTCACTGGCTTCCTAGTATCCTAGTTATTAAAAACATGTATTGAACACATGTATTGTATTTGTATTTTTCTGCCTTAAAATGTCAACTTGTTTGACTTGTTTTCAATCCAAGCCATTATCCAATTAAAACAAAGAAAGAAAGAGAGAGCGAGAGAGGATACGCAAGATGGGGTCAAAAGTGTGTCTGCATCTATACACATGGCCAAAAATGTGGAAAATGTTACAATTGTTTATGCAAGTATATTACTCATATTTCCCATAAACATCGCAATGTATAATCAAAACCATTATAAGGGTCATAAGCGGGATACTAGCACACATGTAAACAAATTAATTGTTTTTTACTACCAATTATGAGAGTGGAAAAAAACATCTCAAACAATAATAACAGTGTCCGTGTCATTAATTGTAGAGTGTGCGCAGCCTGTCTCACCAGGGACGTCTTTCTTGTCTTCCTGTTTGTTGGTCTGAGCCTCCACTGCTTTCACAACCTGTCCGGAGCAGCACGCTGCCAAAAAACACACGCGCTCATTATAAATATCACAAAAAACGCAAACATCTACTTTTCAGATGAGATTTTGCGCGCGTGTTTGTTTATTCGTCTCACCCTGGCCATTCGGTTTGGCCTTCAGGATGTAAAACATGATGATGAGAACAATGGCGATGGCCATGATGAAAATGGTCGACATGGCGATAATGAGAGCTGTTGCCAGGTGACCCTGTCCGTGGGAATCTGAAAGATGGAGGCAATGATGTAAAGTTATGTGTTGTGAGAAACGAGAGAGAGAAAGAATGGATGATTGACGAGACAGAGGATGATATTTGCGTTTGTGTGTATTTGTGTATACCTTTAATTACAGAAGGGAACACAGTTGTGCTACCACTGTGAAATATTGTTTTTTCTTTCGGTTTGTTGGTTTGCATGCCTGGGAAACAAACACAAACACACACAGAGACAGGCTGAGTGTCGTAATTCAGTCTACTTCGTTAACTGCGGCTATAACACACACATTCTCGTTTATGGATAATTTGGAGTTCACGTCCATCGCCACGCATTTCAACACACGTGACCCGGAAATCACATTACTTCAAGTATTCAGTGAAAACTAAACAAATTCAATTCATTTTTATTTAGATAAAAACAACAAATCACATTAGTCACCTAAAGGCACTTTAGACTTTAGGTGTATTAGAATCCTTTCACCATTTGTGGGTGGCTTTTGCTACCTAATGTCTGTCTTCAGGCTTTATGCTAAGTTGAAATAACTTAATTAATAATTTAATATTTAAACTTCCTATTTAAATATTGAGGATCAAGCAAAGAAATGGTGACTGGTGAGGCCTGCATCCCCATAAATGAGTAAATGTTTCAGATTTCTCCAAAAAGGGAGGTACCCCAGATGCTTCATGGTATGGACATTGGTTATTGGCAAAGTTTGCATCCCATCATTCACTACTGGCAGTGTGTTAGCTTTGGCCTTGCATTTTATTGACCTCAAAAGCAATGCACTGGATCATTCTCCAAACTCTAACATTTCACAAAAGAAAATCATCTGCGCTAGGAGCAGTAAAACTTTATTTCTTTCAGACCTTCTCCCGCTGCAGTAAACAAACTGTTACATTGGGCAGGGTGGACACAAAGCAGTAACTCTCTGTCCAGATTTCCCTCTGTTTCCTATCTGTCCTGCTCTTTTCGCCTCCTCTCACTGTGACTCTTTCTGGATTATTCATCAGCTGCTTTTCCTCTTTCCTAATGGAGCCGTAAACTCATGGCAGCTCATAAATCAACTCTTTTAATCAGTCTTTCCTTTCACCGAGCTGATATACTATAGACCTTGTTGGCATTTGGCTTGCCACTTCCCATGGTCTCAGAGCCTCATATCAACACACACATACACAAACACAGACACATGCACACACGCAGATTGCAGTGTCCTGTGGTTGAAGTTATTAACGTGAGGTATCTGTTTAGACTCTCTGGATAAGGATATGAGCCTGATCTGGAATTCTCTTTAGCGTCTTGTGGTTTAATCTCTTAATCATGTCTCGGAGTCTGAACCCAGGCTGAAAAACTGATAATTTCGCTGGGCGATCTGACTGCTTAGGTCCCAACAAACTAAGAAGAGCAGAATTACCCAGCAGTGTGTGAGGTGACACCTCTTACAGCAGAGTTGGCAAAAAAGATTAACATTATGATCTCTGTTGATACTGGAAATGCCATCTTTTTATTTTTAGTGCATTTATGCTCACTTGAGAAACGGCACACAGAAATCAAAAGGTGACCGAAGAAATTGAGCAACGTCTACAGACTCATCAGCAGCCTGCCAAAGGGTAGCATCAGCGCAAGCACAAACATGCTAATCATCTTTTTTTTTTTCTCATACCCGCCAAAGTTTTAATTATCGCACACACAGAGCGAGGCAGGAGCCAGGGTAATTTACAGATTACATGGCAAGTGTCAGCCTGCCTTCACCTTAAGCAAAGAGAACTCCCAGCTTTCGTATTTACTGTTGGGGCACATTATTTTTGAAGACCTCATTCAAAGGGATGTAATTAAATTGTGCATGATTCAAAATGTAGGGAAAAATTCATCCAGTCTAACCAACCTAACTCCAGGAAGCCACACTGCATGATTTACATCCATGTCAGGTTTGTTAAAGACTTGATTTATTTGCTTTTTAAACTGATTTGGTATCCCAAACATATCTTAGAGTTATGGTTAAAATCTTTAAAGTAGAAGTGCATTTGGAGGCCAGTGCCTTGTCTTGAAATATAAAAGAATGATCTGGATCGGCACCGACATTTAATGGGTTCTTCCTTTGGCCATGCTTCAGCTTCTCTGAGTTTAATAAAGCCGAGCCGGTATTTTTTTGCATAATATTGCTGAAAGAGAAGCCACAACATCAAAACTTAGATCCACCTTGGCTGAAGCATAACAAGTAGGAAGGTTTAGGAAATACGCAGTTGGTAACCCTTTTACAGTCATCCATACTATAAAAAGCTGAGCTACAGGAGCTTATCAATCCCTCTATCTAACGAAAGGTATTTTCCAGTCTTCAAAATGAGGAGAAATGCAAAATGTTTAAATGAAAAGGGTTTTAAATGAGATAAAATACTTGCTATATTTGCCATTTCTTTGTAGTATTCACATCACTTTATCTTATCTTATTTGCATTGCTTTACAACATCACTCAATCACTCATTTCCATGCCTGGGAGAGACAATTAGGTTGCTGTTGAAAATCAAGTGCTTATCCTTACACACAGAAACAAGCACAACCTACACACACACACACTTCACACCCTCTTCTCTGCAGGCCCAGGCTGCTTTTTGGGGTTTCAATCTTTCAAAACACGCTCATTAAATATGACACAATAAAAATAGTTTCCGGCTCAAAGGGGATTTTGAGCAATGATGGGACAATGAATATCGTTTGCTTAGCAGGATGTACCAGCCAGGGTCACAAACGCAGTTCAGATCCTGCTGATGTTCTGATCTGCCACATCTGGATGAACACATGGGGGGCAAAGCAGAACTGCAAACGTCTTCAGCACTGCTCATCATTAGAAACACACTAGCACTGTTGAAAGTTTGCAAAAAGGAAAACAACCCACAAGAGACTCTGTGACAATTGTACAATGAAAAAGCAATTAATCTGCTTGCATATCACAACACATCACACATCCACTACACAGCAACTATGCCTCCAATTCAGGACGGTCAAACAAACAAGAAGATGTGACTGCTCAAGATTTATGCACCGTGTTGCAAGTCTCAAGAAATGTCTGTGATTGCAACAACAGTTTGCACACACACACACTCACGCACAAACATATATAGCATATAGTGTCAGGTAAGCAGAATAACCAGTGAGGCAACGATGTTATTGATAAGCAGCCAAACAGCCCTGTGGAGCCAGAGAAGCACTGATCCGGGGGGGGAGTGGGCGTACAACTTCCTTGTATCCATCAGAGAGTCTGGCAGAACTCAACACAACCTCTGACCTTTAATTGTTTCCTCAAATGGAGCACAGGCTTACGGCAGACATCTGCTTTTCCACTGTCATATTGTACTTCCTTTCATTTAGGAAAAAAAAACTTTAATGTTTGGTAGCTTTTGTAGTTGTTGTATGCATGGATAGAAAAAATTTAGAGTTGGGAGATAACATTTAAAAAAAAATGCGTGAAAACAAATGGAGCAAAAATTAAGAAAAAAGTAGCTAAACTTACATTCTTTGGTGTTGCGTGGTGCGTTTTGGCAGGAATGGCAAACCATCCAATAGGGCTTTTCTGACCTGTTCCCCAACCTGTAATACCTGGAAAACACAAAGTGTCTTTAGCAAAGGCAGCAAGAGAAAAACTAAATAGAGAAATCACATAATGTATGAAACGCAAGACTTTCAGACACAACCGGGTTTCAAGACACTTATAAGTTCAACACGATTCAAAAGTATGTGGAAGGAGCGAAGGTTAAAAGTTTGAATCTGTGAGGATATGTACATAATTGATGCCTTGAGGGCACGAAGCGTGGCTTGGTACAGATTTATGAAGTTATGAAGCGTCTGTGGGGGGAAAGAAGAGAGGAAGGTAGTGTATCATTTGTGCTTCAGGGCACAAGTGAAATATCTGAATAAATACACATGATTGCAGATAATTAAGTAATGGTTTAATATAGAACACATATATGAGGTCTTCGCTGTGCAGACACATAAGGAGACATCTGATTCGATGTTTGTAATGGACTTTAAATATAACTGTAACAGCAAACTCAGTCCAACAGTTCATGAGAATAAAAAAAATGGCATCTTATTCACTTATGATGAGCAGTTTTTTTTCAATACATGACAGTCAATAAAGAATTGATTTATTTATTAACAGAATAATAATTATTATACTGGAAAAACACCACAAATTATAAATTTTTTTAGCAGGTCTTGTTGGGATTTGGTGCTTTTCAAATTAAATTTGAAAATTAGAAGACAGCAGATCATCATCCAGGCGATGACAGGATGAGATGATTTCAACATTAGACTCCCTGTGATAGTGTGGGATGTTTCTTAAAAAATCCCCTAATTATGAATTTCCTACCTACTATATAATATATCGCTATATTGCCCACATGTAACCAAAAAATGTTTCCAATGAAATATGATTGAATAGAAAAAAAAACCAAAAAAATAAACTCAAGCAATTTATCGGCGGCGACACAACATGATTGATGATGCAAAGGGCAAATAAGGAAGAGGGAGGAGAGGAAGGTCTGGCAACATTTAAAAGTCCCTTATTGACTTAATATTTATGTGGCATGGGGTTGCAAAGACAACTGCCATGTGCAAATTGAAAAGTGCAAGATTTAGTGTGTATTCATACAAAGCGAGAGGATGTATGAAACCGAATGGAGCACGGCAGCCTATTCACATGCTAAATAATGCATCCGAGTGCGAATCATATTAAAAATGCATGCTGTACAGTAAATCGACACTTGAGTAGAACATCCATTCTGGACGTAATCAGCCGTGTCTGTTTGCCTAAAGATGAGTTGTCATAAATATCCTTCTTTGGCAGAATTAACTGGCATCCATAGCAAAGTTATCCATCTCTGTAAATTTATCGGGAGACAGCAGTATACGGCTGCGATGTGTACAATTAGACTGAATGAGTCATCTGGGAAATGTTGATCTTGCCAACTAAAATAACCACGTCTGTTGTATCTGCCTTGATCAGATTAAGTACCTTGTTAAGAAAAAAACAAAACAAAGCAAAAAAAAAGTCTCTTTAAAAAAGTCACATGCTTATTTTATTTTCATAAGATCTGTACTTTTCTTTTTCAGACTGCACGTGACTACTCTTTTATGTCTTTTGTATGTCAGGCTGCTTTTAAATGTACTTTATGGAGTTCTGATCACAATTAGTCCTACAAAGCACCTGGATCCATTCTTTCTTCTTCTTGTGTCTGCATGCAAAGGGCGATTTGTTCAAGTGATGTCATTGGTTTTACACCAGTCAGTGTTCTATAGGTGGCAGTAGTGTGCCAAGAAATGCAGGAATGCATCAGGAAAAGGTAAAAAGAACTTAGAAACTAAGCAGCTAAAACTGGAGGCAAACAAATGCTCGAGTCATTTTTAAATATAACATTGAGCCAGATGTTTTAAGGCTTAAGCACCTGTTTTTCTTATGGGACACGTATTTACAAGGACATGTAAGAAGACGCACCAGGAAAAAAGTGACAGTTCACATGTCATTTGCGTATTTAAAAGGCTACAAAGGCTATTTTTTTTATTGACACACTACCTTATTATTATAATGCAAAGTGAATAACAGATGGGTGAAGCTGACCATAAATGACATGGAAATTCATCGCATGCATTTGTCTTATTTACCATTTAACATTGATTAAGTAACTGAAGCCAATGAAAAACACTGAGTATATTTTAATAGTTCAATGATTCTTTGTGTGATCATTTAAAAGGTGTCCTGCATTGTGTGTTAAATGGCTGTTGCCTCTGCTTGTTAGTGTGCTTTACCCAGGTAAACAGGGTCCACACTCTGCGTCGCGTTCGGGAGTTCCTGGTATGTGAACAGTGGCACTGTAAAGCGCATGACAGTCTGTGTGACGTTTGCAGATCTCATATTTCCCTCCGGAGTATTTTCCCTTTGGGCACAGCACGCAGGTAAAGCCTTCATCCTTCACACCATGACCGCAGGTCTGCGAAGCACACACAAAGACATTTTTTATAAAGAGACGTTTTCAGTTTTATGATCAATTATTAAATCAAAAAAACAAATGAATACAATTTACAGATCACTGACATTCCAACTGTGACGTGGACACACACATTATAAAACAGTGATGTGTTTCTCTGTTCTGAGACAATCTGACATTACTTTTTCAAAAGACAAGAGGAAAATCAGATTTTTCGCTACGCATGCTTTTCAATGACTGGTGTTGTTTAAGATGACTGGTATGTTTTCAAGCATCCATCTCCTCCCATCTCCACATGGTAATTCCTCTCAGTTAGGAGGCCAAACAGGCCACACGCAAACACACACATGTAAAAACACATCAACCTCTTTCTCTTTTTCGCTCCTTTCATCTTTCATTTCCCTCCCACTTTCATCTGTCTATTAAAAAAAGCCTATGCCTCTTAGCTTTAGGCTACAGCAGGCTGACTCTTACAGAAATCTAATATTCTCTCCCTTCTTTTTTTGACGTCCGTGAGTCTCGGTGTGATTGTTTGATATAAAACCGTGCTGGGTTATCGGCAGGATCTTGTCGCTTTGAGTTAAAGCTCTCGTTGGATCATTTATACTCAAGATTACAGTGACTCAAATCTTCTCCAGAATGATTAAGAACTCGTTCCTTTGAAAAGCAAATTGAGGCCTTTTTGAATCTTGCTTATTATAGGAGTTATGGAGGTGAGTGAAACTCAGATAGTTATGCTTGTATTATAATACTTGACCGTGAAGAGAAATAAAGGCGATTACCTCAGACTTGCAGTGCATATTATTCATCAAACGCCGGGGTTACAAGGGACCATAATCACAATACACAATACAAGATGCAATCTGATGTAAAACTTCTGTACTTCTTCACTTCCTCAATCTTTCCTCCCCCCACCAACCCTTCCACCAAAATCAGAAATGTAAGGGTGGGCTGTTAACTAGCCTGGAAATCTGCATACAAGATGTGCAACGGAAATAGGTCTTCAATATCTCTCTGCACTGTGTGGAGTCTTGCATAGTGTCTGTGCAAGTGTGTGCGGGCATGTACTTTTTGGAGTCTCTGTTTTGAGCAAGAACTTTCTGGTTATACTGTGATTAAGACACACATGTACATGAAACATGTCAGGGAAACAGAAGAACAAGTGACAGACTGTTCCAGACTGTGGCACCTAAAGGATCAGAGTGCAAAGAGGGCTTTCATGTCACTGATGAAACTACTCGAGGTTTACATTCAAATGGCTGCAATACTCTTTGATTATCAGACTGAGCTTCCCATCAGGTGGAGAAAGAGGAGAAAGATCATTTGATTTCACCAGCTGCTTTATAGAAGTTTCTGTTAACATGTGGAAACACAAAGCAGGAATGAGGAAAGCACCAGAGGAGAGAACTAAGATAGAAACAAAGGGTTTAGTGCACTGTGATCACTTCCATGCAAATGTGTAATTGTGGGTTTTTTTTGTCTGCCTTTGGGGATCATTAAAATACTTGTAGTATTTGATCGTTTCTTGGTTCATGCTTTTTCTGTGATCTTGTTTTTTAAGCTCTTTAAATACAGAATGCACTACAACATCCATCCAGCTGCTGCTGATTTTGCCCATCCAGCGCTGAGTCTAGAGTGCCGAGCGTTTTTTTTTGTCAATTTTAATAGGCTGCTGTGGTTAAAAACTGCCACTGAGCAGTCAGAGTGCCGAGGGAACCTGCAGTATTGGGTGGTTTGTCCGTTCATAACATCATGCCTAATTTGAGGTGAGTCGCATTCAGCTGGAAAAACAGTGACGCCACATAATTCAGTGCGCCGGTACAAATCAGATCCTGAGGACATTGTCAGTCAAATTCACCGTTGCATCCACGCAGCCCTTATAAAGCATGACAGTTTGAACTGTTAGTCTTAATTAACAATACCTAGAGGGTGTTTTAACATTTTATATTCATTTTTTTTTAGTCGGGTTTATGTCATTTATTTTATTTTCAGCAGCATAAAATATGAGACAAAACAGTGTGCTATGTTTTCTGTTTTTGATAAAAAGGTTTTTCTAAAATTCATTCTGTTTTGTAAAATCCGTATCTATATCAATATAATTTATAACTCTTACTACTATGCAAATTTAGATTTAAATTGCACTTATACAGCACTTTTCTCCTTTATTTGAGCACTCAAAAGGCTTTCTTACAAGCCACATTCACACACACACACACACACACACCTACACAAGTGTTTTTTTTGTCTAAGAGCTTTTAACTTGACATTTATACATTCAAACACCGGGGGCAACTCAGGGCTCAGTGTCTTGCCCAGGGATACTTCCGCTTGCCGACTAGAGGAGCCATGGATCACATGACCGACATTCCAATCAATAGATGACCCACAGCTGCTTTAAAGGACATCAACTTTAGATAAGAAGTTGGAGAAGTTGGATTTTTCTTTCTATGTTTTGATCAAATGATTTAAGCATTATTCATGCAGGTTAATGAGCCCAGAGAATCCAGCTTCTACTGAACAGACACATGTATACGCACAAATATATATATATAAAAGTAAATTCTAATAAAGGGTCTGCTCAAAATATTAAATAAGTGCAGCATATAGATTTCCTGTTTATGCACAAGAATTCTACAAATGTTGAAAAAATATCATTGCTTTTTTACCACACAATAATGTAGTTGGTCTCACTACTGCTTGAAGTCAAGGGTGCTACCTGAGCAAAGCATGCAAGAGGCCAAACTTATGACTTATTGGGAATTCTGGATATTTGCCAGCTCTGTTTGGAAACGGGTGCCTCACAATGTCTTTGTGCTATCTACCTGGCAGGATAAAGACCATACACTGTTCTGCTTTGACTAAGTAGGACACTTGCGTTCCCATAAGCAGCTCCACCAGTAATACCGAGAAAAGTTTAAAGATGTAGAGCATGTGTGAAAACAGCTTGTAATTCATTCTGTTCACCCTTGAGTGCAGCTGTCTCTCTCAAGCGGGTGTGGCACCCCCAGGTGCCCACTGAAGCATTTACCTGCACTTTGTTTGCTTTGGCTGTTGGCAGACTGACTGACGAGGGCTAAATCACTATGTGACTACTGCAAGCCATTCACTGTAATGCATGCCTTCACGTTGAAGTCAATGATAGCAATAAACCATAAAGAAATTGTTCATTTAAATTAAGGCACCCTTCACCGTGCAGCTATGTGTGCGTGCTGTGTATTTGTATATATGCGTATGTGTTGGAATGCATGGATTGTGGGTGGTCTAAGCAAAACTGACACCTACATTCAAAAAGTCAGTTTTTTCTTCAGTTTTTGACGGTCTTAGTTTGATGATGATTCGCTACTGCATTTCCTTCACTCGTGCTGTCAGTTGATTCCAACAGTTGATTTCAAAATGTACTCAGATAGTGTAAAAATTTTACGACTTAAATTAACATTTTTTATGTATGAGTGCATGCATGCATTCTCACCATATATGGCTCATGTCCTGGCTGGCACTGAGGGCAGGCCTGGCAGCTGTTACTGGTCTGGTTGAAGAACTCATTCTGTCCACAGATGTTATATTCTGCACTAGCAAACACACAACACACCTGGAGGAAGAGAAAGAGAGTCAGAAAAGTGGAGTCGAGATCAGACGAAATAAGGACAAAACAACATATAATAACTTGTGAAAACAGAAATGACAGATACACACTACTGCTGACAGACTCCCTGTGCAAGACATGTTTGCAACCGGCAAAAAGATTAAAGGCACTGCTGCTTAATAGATCCAGATCGACGCCTAATCTAACAGATTTATCACACGGCTAATATTACTTATTTGCTGATCTATCAGTAGTGGAATTTGTAATTTCCAATAAATCATAATCAGGAGAAACACTCTTCAACTATGTTACAAGTGTTGACATTGCATAGTTTGTCCACCAGAGGGCACTCTGCAAGTTTCCCAATACTAACAGTTGTGTTTGGAAATACAACAACCAGCTTATTCAAGCAAAAACAGATCAGTAAACAAACAGCTACACTGTTGTAGTTGTTTATTTACTTAATCATCCAATATTTTGGACTATCAGATATTTAAATCACCTAATATTGGTATTGGTATTTGCCTTAAACATCATTTTTTAATTCTTATTATCATAGTTTAAGTTCTGGAAAAACAGATACTCCAGTTTCGCCACAAAGAAATGGCTGATGATATATATAGGGCCTACATCCATCTTTCATTTTATTTATAGAGTCTATAAATAAAGTTAAACATCCATGAATCAGCATCTTCACTTTAACTGGAAATAAACAAGCAGCAAATAAAACAAACATGTTGACTTCTTTGTCTGCAATAGCTCAGATGGAGACCATCGTTAGCTGTCCTCATGTCAAACAAGAGTTTGCATGATCCCATCAATTGAATGTGTGTGTATTTGTTCGTGGTTGTGTTACTCATCTTGTTTAGACATAAATATATCTGCACAGTAACTCATTAACCTCAATCGCTGAAGTGTGAGGTGAAGACCTGGTTTAGACCTTCCAGGTGTAGGTTAGGGTTGCATGAAGAAAAGTTGTGGTATTGGTTAAGATTTGGAAATGAACGCAAGTCAGTATAACATCCTCTAAAATGTGAAAATGTGTAGCCTATGTGTCTTTGTGCCATGTCACTGTGGCTCACTGTAATAAGTAGCAGCTGGTATTTATAGCTTTACCAGCACGCTTTGTCCTTTTCCAAACAAACAAACTGACTTTTAAAAATCATTTGCAGTCCAGAAAATGATGGAGTGAAAGTAAATGAGTGCATGACTGTGCATGACTAAGTTTCTCCATCTTCTCTCTATTGTTTAATAACATCTCCCACTCACTGTATTCTCCCTAATAACCATCTCATGTCAGCAGAGATAAGGCACCATTCAAATAAATATACATCTACACCACGAGTGTGTTTATGTGTCTAGATATTCAGTATTTGACTGCATATATTATCTCATACCAGATATTTGGTGAGTCAAACCAGATCCTCCAGATTAGCTTGCAATAGTTCACAGGTTAAGTAGTGCTTCCAGTGATGAGTAAATTAAAACTGGTGGATTTAAAATGTTTAGTTTGAAACTGAAATCCTTCGTTTAAGAGCTAGTGTGGAGTCACTGAGAGCAATCACTTTCTGCAAGAGACATTTAGATATTGTCTTTCTTTGTGTCTTTATTCATTTAACAGTTACAACACATGCTAATCGACATCAAGATACCAAAAATATTTAAAGATTTAAAGATGCCAGATTTGATCAAAACTGCTGTTTTACATCTTGTTTCCCAGGGAAAGTCGCATAAAAAAAGAGATTCAGCAAAAACAGATATTAATACCTCATCAGAGAGAAATTAGTTTCAAATGGTCACAGACCTGGTTTCCCATCAGCTTCTTTAAGATGAGCTTTAAATGTGGGATAAGTAGAGTGCTCGTTTATTGTCATTAGTAAGCTGTTCTATTTACTTCCCTTTACTAACAGCACAGATTGTCCAACTGCAGTGCGCAAAGAAAAGCTTTTCTTTGCAAGCTCCTTTGACTACAATGACTTGGATGACTGAGAACCTTCACAGACGAACAGATGAGTCGCCCCCTGCTGGCCTTGAAAGTGTATGCATGTTTAAAGCACATCGGCTTTCAATTTTTTGGTATGCAACTGATGTATTTAAAAAGCATTTAAAGCAAGATGACGCATTCTTTAACGTGTAATAATTATCTCAGCCTATAGAATTAAAATTTAGCAGAAACTAAGGGGACTGCAAATAATATAGTGCTAGTATCCATCACTTCTATAATCATCAAAAGGGTGCTATGTTGTATGACAGTAGCCGAGAAGTATACTGTCTGTCATTCTGGGAAAGAGGTTAAGATGAGGGTGTGTGTCAGAAGACTGCCAGTAGGTTTCAACATCAAAACAAGCTGAGAATCTCCAGATTGTAAGACAGATTATAAAGATATCTGTTCTATAAAAACTCCAAGGTTCACTAATTGGTACAAGTGCTGAAGAGTTATGCAAGCTGCTGGCACATAAAACCACAAAGTCTGTTTTTTTCCTGTGCCAAATGTGGAGTTTATTATGGCTGCGAGCCATACTGCTGGACCAATATGGGTTTCTGAGGGGTCAGCATCAAAAACAAGATGACGAAGTTAAATTAAAGCTACTGCTTTATGATTTTAGAGAGGGCGTGAAAAGAAGAAAAAAGTAAAGAGAAGAGCAGAGGAATGCAAACAGACAAAGATAAGGGGTGGAGAGGGGGAGTAAGTGATGTATGAAGATATGCAAGGGAGAAGATTTGATCAAATATAAGGTAAAATAAGCGGATATGAGGCAGGAGAGGAAAACTTACTAATAACGAGGACAGAAAGATCGACTTCTTCTCCCTCCTTTCTGACATTTTTGTGTGTTCTTCCTGGGAGAGCTGAGAGAAAGACAGGTTGTTAATTCGAATTATATTCATGCAAACATTCCAGCATTCAGACTCCTGCACAAAACTTCAATCATAAAACAGCATTGTTATGAATCTCAGCATCCTGCCGACAGCAGTGCTGTCAGTGGGGATATTGTGTGTCTGTGTGTGTGTAAGTGTCGGTGTGGCCCAAATGACTTCACTCTCATGCTGATAGCACGTCACACCAAGAGCAAGTAATAGCAACAGAACAGCCCATGGCATTCTTCTGACTCATAACTACAAGCACACATCACCGTTGGCTAACCTCTGCTTCAATAAAGGTTGGTGATATCACTTAACAACATTTAATTATACGCCTATTTCTTTGTTATGTCTCTGTCACGTTAGGTTAGAAATTTTCTCCAAACCTCAACCTCAGCTGAAACGCAAGTAAAAACATATTTCAAGCTTAGTTTCACACTGATGGCTGCCACTTAATAGTGCCACTAATATTTAATGCTAACCTGGTATGGAACCAGGGTGGAAAAAGTTGGCTTGCAGTAGGGTGTAAATCCCCAGAGTAATGTAGTCGATCAGTAGGTAATAAATCAATTTGATGTTTCTAATTCAGTTTATAATTCTGCTAAGCACAGGTTAAAGGAGAAGGAAAACACTTAAAATAAAATGCCTAGGATCCATTTTCAAATCATACTTGCACAGCTACTGCGATCATTAAGTTGACATTAGGTAAACAGCAATTTTACATTTTGTGATTGTTTCTGCAAACACGTTAAAATATTCTTTACCTCGCTGCTAAACGGTTTAATGACAAGCTAACGCGAAAACGAAGAGTTTGCAAAGGTCGGGAAAGCTATAAAATCCCTGACGAAGAGAAAGCTTGTTTAGTTTGGTTTTTGTGAAATGACAGCTGTGTTTGGATATAAGGTTGTTGATAGCAGCACTTCATAAAACATGTGTGTATTCCCCCTTAATGTGCCAGAAATTAATCTGCTGTGTGGTATTGTTTGATTGCTTGTTTATTTCTTGGAAATGCAAGCGTTTCCAAGAAAGTGTCTCTGATTTTAGTCACTGTATGTTTGTCCTGCACTGAGTATACAGCATTTCTGTGTGTGTGTGTGTGTGTGTGTGTGGCTGTCTGTGTCTATGTTTAAATACCATTCACTGATATATTTTGCTTGTAACATTAAATTACTAAATTATTATTAAGTCATTAGTTTATCACTGTCAACGGGGAACTAAATACATATGTCTCCGAGTAACTCAGCTGGCTGGGATCCGTTCTAATTATTATTATTATTATTATTATTATTATTATTATTTCGACCTTGCTAGTCCGTCATGGCATAGATTCAACAAGGTGCTGGAAACATTCCCCAGAGATTTTGGTCCATACTGACTTAATAGCATCACTTAGCTGCTGACGTTTTGTCACAAATTTGAGTACAGTGAACTCGTTGTCAGACTGAGATGATTTCAGCTTTGTGACATGGTGTGTTATCCTGCTGGATAACAGGCATCAGATAATAGATACAGTCATTTTTCTGCCTGTTTATAACGGGCCATGACACATACTAAATACTGGATGACACATCATTATGCAACCGAACAGATTTTTTTTTTTTGTACTTTCAAGTCACAATTTCCGGTGTATCTGTGGCTCAGTACAGTTAACTTTTTTTTTTCTTCCTGCAATATAAAATTAAATAACATTTTTGTTTGAAGAATCCACAAAAATCCCAACATGTTTGAATCCTGATTATATGGTCATCAGCTATCAAAAGAACATTATACAAAAAAGTACGTGACCTCATTAAAATCGGTCATTAAAATCAATTTCATATTGTTCTATGATATCTTTTTAAGTATGGATCAGTTTAACAGTCATCAAGATGCATTCATGGAAATTAACAACAGCGCTGTCTTGTAGCAGGACTGGCTTTCATCATCCATCAAGGCAATGACTCCCCGACATGTACCAGTAGTTTTAGCTGCCTAAATCAGAAAACCAGCAAACACATGCACTGACACTTTGATAAAAACGTGTTTTACCGTTTTAACCGGTGTGGCCCCAGGTCAGATCAGATCAGTTTCGCACACTGACGGCTGAACTTTAAATCCATCTGAACTTGTCGAGAGTATCAAAGTATTTTTGTGTATGTGTCAGTGTGTCTGAGAGACAAAAAAAGGAAGAGACCACAATTATCTGAGGTCACAATCTGTCTGCTGCCTGGCTCCAAACCTCTAAATTCATTCTTCCCTGTCTCACACTTGACTAAAAACCTTCTGATCTTCAACGATGGCTAATTCTACAAACCCAGAGGTTTGATCTTGCTTAATTACAGCATCCACATACACGCACATGCACACACGCACATGAACACACATATACGGGGGCTATAAATGTGCACAATTCGCTTTTAAGGGCAGAACAGGCTTAATTGCGCAAGTACTTGTGGTAAGACCACAACCGGTGTGTGTGTGTGTGTGTGTGTGTGTGTGTGTGTGTGTGTGTGTGTGTGTGTGTGTCTAGTGAAAAGGAGATAAAAGGGGAAACAGTTTTTTTTTTTTTGAAATCAGGAAATTAAGATCTGCCAAATGGCTATGGACCCCCTCAAGGCTTCTCATTATGGGGTTAAAGTGATACACACATAAACCCAAGCACAACACACACACATAACTCCAACATGGCAGCGTTTGAAGACTCTTGGTGTCTTCTGACAGTCTGCTTTACCTCTTTCAACCCGCACGCTGTCTCTCTAACCTCAGCTTTCTCTGTCGGGGCAGGTCTAAGATGAAAGTAAGCCTTTAACCCCCCCAAGGGTATTAATCTTCTAACGATCCTAAAATCACCGATAAATAACCCTTGTGTCTTTAGCTGTGTCATTACTAAGTAAGAGTGTAAGCTGCTCTTAGTTACACAGCAAATGTACTGTGTATGAATCACAGTCCAGCATTGTTCATCTGTAGTACATTTTTACAGTAGTAAACATTTTCGAGAAGCCTTTTGGTGCCTCGCTGGCTTCATTAGCTCTGTCTTCATGTCTGCTTTTCATTTGGTTGCATCTGATTGCTGTTTTTGTTAGCGGAAGAAATTAAATGTGCAATACCACAAAGCGAGGGGGCGGCAATTTATCTCGCTTTATTTCAAAAATGCACAATTTCAAACGCATTAACCTTAAACGCATGTAACACTAATCAGCAAGACCTAAAGAAGGCATCTTTTGCCAAAGCTGTTTGGCCTACAGTGACAAGTATAATGCTGTAATGTTGCTAAAGATCCAGAGCAGAACTTCAAAGCGGGTTAAAGTCTGTATTGATATGGACTGCAACAAAATGTGTCAGCTAAATGTGATAGACTTACTTAAAGTCATTATGGTGATGTTTACATCCTGCAGGTGAAAGGAGATGTTGGTCTTTGGAAATTCCCATAGATTACATCATACAAGGACTAAGTAGACAGGCTCCACGTCTTTCTTGCTAATTCCACTTGTCCTCTTTTTTGTGCAAGTGAAGCAATGTACCACTCATAGACGTGGCTTAATGTGCTCAATATGCTTGAATTTTTGCAGTAATGCTTTAGATTTTAATGCATAAGTAAATTATATATGTTCAAAGAAAACACTAAAGGCTGTCAAGTGTGTAAGTGTGTGTAAGTCCAATGATTAGTTTATGCGATCTACTTTTTTATGGGAAATGGACTAATTCTATCTATCGTGTCAACAATCACTATTTGGACGGAACAGACAGTCGCAGTCTGTTCAGTCTGAGGACTGAAATTCGTATGAGTTGTATAGTGGACTAATTACAAGTCGTGATACCATAGCTGTTGGAAGCTATGCAAGTGATTCTGTGTGTTTTTGTGTGAGGTCATGCTACACTTACTGGAGCAGAAATGACCACAAATGTGGTTCAGAGTACTTTGTCCAGTGTTTACGTGAGGATGTCCACCCTGAGAACGTGAGCAGACAGGCTGTGTGTGCAAGCTGTTAATTTATTAACTTAAGTTAGTCAGAAAACCGAGTCCTGTAGCATGTGTGTGAAATTGTAAAAAGACGTATTTTAACTTGAACCAAGACAATTTTCTAATAAGTTGTTTTTGTGATCAGGTTTTGTCAAAATAAACTAAACGGAATGAAGAGAAAACTTGAAAATGATGCCAGGTGTATTTGTGCTCTTCAACCCATCTTGTTGAAGATACAGACTTTCTTAAAAGTGCAAATTCTCATATATGTAATTTCAATCCAACTTTACCTGTCAATGTAGCTGTCTAGTTCTTTAGATGTTAATTCCAATGAGATCATTTAGTCAGGGGATTATTATATTAGTATATAAAAATGCTACATCTGAAACATAGTGCTAAAGTTTTTCATTATGTAGTACAATGAGGGGATTGTCTGACCGGTCCTAAATTCACTCTTCAGCATCAGCAAAAACTAGAAGAGTCCTACAGCAAAGCCCCAAAGAGAGTCATTATGGAGTAAGCCTAAGATTAAGTAAGGAGAAAGCAGAAAGTAAGATGAAAGACTGTGGCTAACTTCACAAGGGTCCTTGGAAAACTGACGTTTCAAGCATCTTTAGTCCCAATCACCCAGGCCAAGAGACCTGCCTGTGACCACCTGGCAACCACTGGTTGTTTGTAAAAAATCAGCATTTCCCAAGTGGTAGCTGGAAGTTGCTTGGTGAAACTGATCACCAAGAGGTATTTGGTGCTGCACTGAAGACCTCATTGTGATTGCTTTATTTGTTCGCAGACTGCCAGAGTCCCCTGTATTTTGCTTGGAAGATGCCAACTTGTCTGCAAATACAGCTCACTAAGTGGTTTAACTTTCAAGATTGCAACCCAGACTCGAAACAGACCACTGAGTTTCAAAGTAAAAGAGGCTGATGGTTAGTTAGCATGTAGGTAGTCCACCATTTGTACACCTGTTTTTAGATCTGTTATAGGCCATAAAGATTGTCTGATTGTCACTCTATATGTAATTTGTTCTCACCAGTGGTCAACCAGTGTT